TTTCCGAATGCATTTTCCATTTTCCAATGCACGGCTGCACCGCCGACCGAAACAAAGAAAACGCACAAAAGCCAAGCCCCCTGAAGCTCCCTTTTCCCCCACGCCCTCTTTTTCTCGTCTATGTGGGCGTGGCTGCGTGTATAATTTGCGATTTATGTGAGCCATGTTGACAGCAGTCGCGGAGTTGGTGGGATAAGTGGGGAAGATGGGGGGAAATGGCAAACAACAGCGGCTAACACGTGCTGTGCGTCATCTAATGCTGCTGACAAACACCTACACGGAGATACACGAACACAGGCGCACACACCGCCAAACACACACCAACACACACTCACACATACACACCCCCACACGCAAAGGAAGTTGCACAATGTGTCAAATGTCATATATGTGTCGCTAATAAATTCACTCAAATGTTTCAATACCCGCACGCCTGCCAGCATAATAAAAAGATCCCCTCGCACTTCGCATCTCATCGCGACACTGACAAACTGCGAATCTATGGCGACATAAGCAGACAGCCGAGTGAATTCTCAAAGGATGGGGAAAAAAGGACTCTATCTACACTCAGAATAATCTGAGAATCTTGAGACCTTGTTTGATATTCTAAAGAACACAATATAACAAAAACAAAATGTACTAAAATTAAAGCCATTTTTCCTAGTTTGTTTTTTTAGGAGAGAAGATTATTGCATATAGAAAAAGTCAGTTTTATCGAAACGATAACCTTTTTGAAGAATAATTACAAAATTTTTTAGGCATTAAAGAGTATTATTTTTAATTATTAAATATACTTTATTAATCTTAAGTATCCAAAAAACAATGTTGTCTTCTAAAAACAACATTTAGCTAAAATTCTAAAGATCTGCTGCAGATATTTTGTGATTAAGCTTAAATACAAATACATCCAGTAAATTTTTTTTTTATTGCTTTTTATTTCTTAAAGTAAAAAAAAGGAAGGATATGTTCGCATATTAGTTATAGTTGCTTTTAAGTTTCATTTTATAGTTTTTCTATTCTTTCGAAACTCCTACATATGATTTTTATAGTGTATCTAAGAAGTGAAATATTAAATCAGTTTGGCTGGGCGGCTCTCCTTCTCTTTTGTCTTTTATGCTCCAAATGAATCTTAAATTACCAACATATCCCGCTGTCAATTGTATTGCCTCTGATGGGGAACAAACCAATCATGGCACGCACAAGCAATTGAAATACCCCCTTTCACATCCACAAGACCCTTTTATTCGTGGGACTCTGTGTACTAATATTTTGAGACCAGCTAAAATTGACTTTGGGACTAACTTAATATTTAACCCAGTTTTTGTCACAGCCAAAACAACAAATAGAAAAGTTTGGAAAACCAATGGGAATTCAGAATTTGTATTATTTAAACACAACTGTTCAATTAAATATGAAAAAAACCACAATCTTCTTTCAAATTGGTGTTCTTGTTTGCAGCTATTTTATTGCAAAAATATACATGTTTCTTCCATCAGTAAGTTATTGCCAGGAATAAATGCAATCTCAATTTTCTTTTGCCAAATCTTAAAAGTCGCATTAAAGGGTAAATAAATTTATAAAAATGATCAGAGGAAAGGAGTGCAAAACTATTATTGCCGTATGAATATTTATAGTATTTTGTTTAGAAATAAATTGCCGCCGTAATGGCAACGTCTTCAATGCACGCCAAATGAACTGCAAACGAAATAAAGCGGCCCTTATATAGAAATATAGCTGTCTGAGGCCCATTGCAGATGGGCCAAAGTGTTTGTCATTGAACTCGAAAGTCGAAGCCGGCGAAGGAAGGAAGCAATTCAGGGCGGTGCTGGAGAAGTTGAAATCCATTTAATTGCAAAATCACAGCCAAAATGGGCAGCAGCGGATGTGTTTGGCTTGAGTGTGGGATTGTTTTTCCTCGCCGATTCTGATTCGGTTTTTGGCCGCGGATCCGGCCCGAAAAGCCAGATCCGTGCCAGAAACCTGAGCCGGATGAGCGGCCAGGCCAGCAGCGCTGCCAGCATCATCGTCAATGCAATCATCATCATCCGTCCCACCTCCCCTTTCCTATTTTCCCCATCTTGGCACGGACTTGGCTGCGGAACTTACGGCAAAAACACCCTTACCCGTGCCCGCATCCTTACGGACATTCCGGCTACGTTTGCCCGTAACAACAAAAGTGCATAAATTTAATGCGGATTTTGGCAAACGATGCGACAACGTTGGCTCCATGTGCCAAGTTCTGAGCCCCAGCAAGCCCCCGTGTCCCGACATCGTCGGACACATCTCTAGGCCTCGGCCAAAGCCCAACCCCAACCCAACCCATCCCATCCCATCAGACCCTCGAAATTACACCCAACCCACACGACTCAGTGAAATTCTATGCATTTCCGTGTTGGCATTTGTCGCTGGTTCATTGTGTGAACTCGGCGGGCGAGTGCACGGCTGCAGATTGCACAGTGTCTTGGGTTGTGCTAAAAAATATAGCACTCACACAAACAAAATCCAAGCTAGGAATGACTGTGAAAGAAATGTGACTTCATTTTATAGAAAGTGCCATGTAGAAGTATCGCTTAAAATTCGTTTAAATACAGAAAGGGGAGGGGGTACTACCAAAAAATTATCATAATATAAATAAAATAAATTTATTTGTAATTCACTAAACAAAGATAATCTAAAATCTTCAACCGAACCAAGCATGGTTCATATATTATAAATTCATTTAAATTGAACAATGCAAATTTTTGGATGTGTGAGAACCACATTCATATTGAATTAAAGAAAGATAGTCCTAATGTTATACCAATAAAAGGATGCTACTGTGCATAGAACACTTTGAAGTTTTTTTGCCAATTTTTAATTAAAATGATTTCCTAATAGAGAAATCACTATATCTAAAAAACCAAATTTTTTTTGTGTGAACAAATTTGTGATAAAAATAATATGTTTTTATTTAAGCATAAAAGTTAAAAACAACAAAACAAATAAATAAAAATAATAATTTGTCGTTTGTTATTTCGCTTAACTTACTTTCCATTTAAAATTGATATAAAACCACGATTCATTTTGGTTAACGAAGAGAAAGGGGCTCAGAGGCTTTCCACTTGACATCTCTCACACTCTGGGCCTTTTCTCCATCTCCATTTCTCTGTGCACGTCTCTCTTTCTCCGCTTCCCGCTTCTCCATTTCTCCATTTCTCCGCTTCTCCCAACTATCTCCGCCAGAGGCCCACGCTATATGCATTATAATTTGAGTGGCATGTTGAGAGTGGCTTTTGTTTTGCTTTTAATTAGATTTACATTGGCCACTTTTCAGTTGCGCATCCAGTTTCGGCCTCCGCCCAATTTTCCCCCGGCCGGCAGGACTCCTCTTCCCGGGCCTTTCATCAAGTCTGGCCTAACTAGCAATGCGCTTTGTTTATTTTGGCGCCTTCTGCAGTGGCCATTTTCCCTCCATTTTCCCCTCCAGTTTTTCCCCCTCTGCTCCACTCGTCTTCTTGTTGTCCTTTTTTTCGGTTGCTCTTTGTGTTTTTGCCGAGTTATTTTCAACAGCTTCACTTTTTGCACTTCCGCTTTGTGTGTCACTAATTGCTTTTGTGTTGCAGTATTTACAATTGTTTTGATTCATTTCCTTTCCTCCCCCAAAAGCCGCCCCACCCCCCTTAAGCCATCCCAAGTCGCTTAATTAAATGCACTTTGAATGTCCTGTCTGCACTTGCCTCTAGGCCTTTGCCTCGTGTTCCCTCTAATCACATTCTCTAATGAAATTTAATGAAATCTCCCACTGTGCTAATGCCGCAGAGGACAGGTTGAGAATCTTTGTATTTGTCAGCAAGAATCTGACACACATAGTTTTGATGTTCTTTTATATGTATATTTTACCTATCGGCGAAAAAATTGTCATTAATCTTTAAACCTTAATCATTGTATTACAAGTATATTGATTTGCTTCCCATGTTGTCTTATGTTTTGTATTAAGTAATATACATTTTTAAGAGCATAACATACATTTTGTTAGGAATACACAATACTTACACAATAATTTTTATTTTATATTTAAAATGCTTTATTAATAAACCAGCAATAAATTAAGTAATCAAAAATAAGTAAATGAAAAACTAACCATCATCTTATGTCCGTAACCACCCAAAAAACAGAACAGTTTCCAACTAGTTTTTAGTCGATTTTTAGTTTTGCATTCAATTCACAGCCTGCTATTTAATTAGTTGCGAACCAAACTTAAATGAGGAAAATAACTCAACGCTTTTTCGAATGGTGCGGCATAATGAGTGACGCAGGAATATCCAGTCGCTGATGAGGCTGCTAATTCAAAACCGGAAAAGCTTTTAACCAATTTACATAATTTACCCCGGCTCAGTCCAAATCGTCTGGACGGGCCAAGTCATTTTTCTTTTGGCCGGCATCAACTCGCCACCCAACGACATCTTTAAAGAAATTAATTAATGAAATGTTGATTAACTTTTGCCAGCCAGCCAAGTTGAGTTCCGCCCTTGCTCCTGGCTGGCCCTCCTCTGTCTGAGATTTATGTCAAGGCATTTATCATGGCTCGAAAGGAGTAAACAAGTCCTGGGCGTTGCGGACTTTTCAAGGAGCAGCCGCATGGGGCGTGGGCATAATCCACAAAATTATGCGCACTAAAGCTATTTACAATTCGTAAAATGTATTTTTTAAATGTTTACAGTGGGTGTGGCTGGGCGAGCTTTGCTTTTGGTTTGGCTTGCTCTCGTTTTGTCTGGCAGGACTTTCGAATAAAATGGGATGAAATCCTGTGGGCGTGGTCGCCTGATGGCTTGTCCTTGTCTGGGGCTAATTAGCGTAACTGCGCCAAAAAAGCGGAGTGACATTTGCAAGGGTCAGTGGGTAAAAAGGGTGACTCTGAAAAAGAAAATTGTCGTGGCAGAATCATCAATGCTCTTATAAAAAAAATTTATTTTTATTACTCTCTTGAAAGTAAGAACGCATTTAAGTTTTCCGGTCAAATAAGGTTTATAGTTTTATTATTTGGAAATTAGATTTCCCAGACGATCAAAAGATTCATATCCCGGCAAGATGTTTTTCTTATTATAAGGCTTAAAATAATTGGTGCTCAGCTCGATAGAATTTTTTAAGACAGGTAAACCCTGTTGGGAATTAAGGGGTTCCTCCAGGAGCACTGGCCCTGCGATTTCTGTCCATGGCTTGAATCCAATGTGGCGCATCTGGTCCACTATCTCCTGTTCCAAATTGCTCTTATCATCCCAATCTGCCAGGGAAACTGGCTTATCGTACTTTCTGCCTGAAATTTCACGAAGATAACTCATCACTTCTAGCTTGGCACGATTTTCCCTTTCCTTTTGCTTGTATTTTGATATATTGTCAAAAAATGCAAGGTAATCTTGATCCATGTCTATGGTTCACACTTAAAAATCGTAGGTCTATGATAACATCAATTAGTTGGATGGAGACTTAAAAAGAAAATATTTTTATTTATTCTGTTAATTTACCAAAAGAGCTGCTTTACTTCCCACAATCAGTCACAAACTGAAATTAAACATTATATAATGGCAAATGTTTTCTTGTCAGATTTGACGAAAATTAAAGGCTTGCTATATTTTAATTAATTAAAATGTGTCTAAAAAGCATAGATTTAACTGAAATCATTTGATAAAATGATTCGTAATTTACTTAATTTACTTATAAAATTGAATTTGTCAATAAACCAATTTTCCTGATTCAGCTTACTGATTGAAACGTACTCAGCATAAACCAAATTAGAAGCCTACCTTTAATTTCATTGAATTCGAAATGACCGTATTCCACAAAGGGTATTTAATAGCACATTTGGCATCGCGCATCTCGCTGCCCGTAATGCGATTAATCATTGTCCATTGGATTGTTTTGAGGGTCGCCCATGGAACTCGTCAAGTTGGCCCTGGTTGTTGTTACTGTTTCGCCTGATTGATTTATGTTTCTAAGCCCATTGTTTGGCACACAAATGGGGGCGGGGCGACGCCTTCCGAGAGGCTTAATTAGTTTGACCCAGGTGTTTGCGAGGCGACTGGCCAAAAGGAAAAGGTCTCAAGCTACAAGGGCTATTAGTCAAAGTCGTGTGATAAGTCACAGCGAAAGGCTTAAAGCGATGGAGGGGGAGGGGGAGGGGTTGGGGTGGATTTATCGCGGGTCTGATTATAGAATTGCATAAAAAATGGTTAGCCAATAAACCATTTGTGACGTGCGATTCATACCTTTTGTGCGGCCCTATAAATAACATGACACAATCTATGGCAAACACATTATTTGGCAATAAAATGGAAATCGATTCGAGCCAAAGTTGACAAATGGCGGGCAAGGAACAAATGGAGCGCCGTAAGAAAAATAATATCGACTATCAAGGATTTTCATGCTCCTGCTGGCTGCTTTTTCTCCAGCTCCTGGCTGCTGTGACAATTTACATGGCCCAATTGCAGTACCCTTTCCCTCTTTCCCTCTTTCCCCATTTCTCCTTTCCCCCGACTCGATGGCTTTTCCATTTTCCCGATTGCCCTGCCACGTCGTTCAAATTGAAATTTTTTTCCGTAAACCTCACAGACATTCACATTCGCAGGACACACGTACATATGTATGCATGGGGCATCCTTTTGTGCTGCGCTCCCTTTGTACTTGTCATTTATGAAAATTTGTTTATTTTCGTAATGCTCCATTTGCAAATGTAGCCAAAGTAAATATTGCAGCTGGAGATGGAGTTTCCCTCTGTGAGTTATTTTTTATGGTTCTGACTGCGGAGCATAATTCATGCGCCTTTTGTTAACATTTACATGACCCCCATTGCCCCCTGGATATTTATCGGCGAAAATATACTGTCATATTATAAATTCGCTGGAAAAAAAACCTATATATCTCTGTTGATTTAATTAAATAAAGGTGACACTTTTTTCATATAAAATACCAGTTAAAATATTGCTGACAATTTGAATGCAAATTTATATTTTTTACCTAATTAACTTTAATTAAATTAGGCATCTGCTTTTAGTCACTTGCTGAAACATAATTATATTTATGTATATAATTATACATATAATTATTTTGCTTGGGACATTAATATAAAACTAGAGTGCTTAAGTCTTAAGCTCTTATGTAAAATTTAAAGCCAGGTAAAATATTATTGGTTGGCTTAAAGTTTACAAATATTTGTATATGCACATTTTTAAAGTCATCATTTTTATATTTAATTTTATAAAATGCAATACACCAATTATGAAAGTTATACCTCCCTTTTTATTTGAATATTTTTTTTTGCAATTCGTACTTTGATTAAATATTCATTATTGATTATAAATTCTCGTATAGGTTTGATAACATAAATTATAGCATAAGCTTTCAGCAAGGACATGGCCCTGCGCCGGCTGGCCACCCACAACAGCAAGGACAGTTAAATTAATTGGCTATTAATTATAATTTGTGCTAAATGGGCCGGCATGTTATTGTTTGTGCTAACAAGCCATGGCCGTACACAATTAAGACTATTTATTTTTTATCAATTAAATCGAACATTTTTTTTGCCACAAGACTTTTATTTGGGCCTTTGAAAATTTTAATTATTTTGCAAAATTCATATTTCTTAATTGGATAATAATTATTAATGAATTGGTATTACATTTAAATTTAATCAAGAAAGAAAGAAGGTGCTACAATTTCAAAAGCTTTTTTTAGTTCTTAAAGAAAAATTTAAAAATTTATATATCTTTAATGTTAATTAATTGGTATTACATTTTTATTTATTCTACAAAACATAAAGGTTCTTCTCTTTCAAGGCGGTTTTCAATTTGTGTGATTTGTTAATTGTGATATTTTGTTAAGGGGACCTATTTCCCATATTGTTTGTATTTTGCTTTTAAATATACTCGATTAAGTCTCTGCTTAAATCTACAAGAAAACTTAAAGAATATTACGCTTTAGCAGTTCTAAACATTTCTTCGTTATTGATGAGTCTGCCGTAATTAAATATTTATGAATCACATGAAAAAACCAATTTTATTCAGTTCCCTCGTATTTCCCTTCTTTTGTCCCTCATACAAAGGAAATGACAAATATCCCAATCGCGAAATGAAGCTTAAATCATTGACCCATAAAGCAAATGTCAATAGAGAGAAACCAATAAGATAAAACTTCCGCCAGGCATAGATTTTTAATAAATTTCCATAACCAAAGCTGGCTAACTACCCGGCTTTTCCACTCACTTTCCACCACCGAAAAAAACCAGCAAAAGCGAACTGTAAACATATTTCCCATATTACGTCACAGTGGCTTGTCAAAAAGGAGTCGCAACATCAAATGATGGAAATAGAAAACAAGCTGCCTGCCATAAACAACGAAGCCGAAAGGACAAATAAACAAACAGCAGTTAAGAGGGGGGAAAATGGGGTGGGGCGGTGAAAACCCACAAGCGAGCCATAAAAATAGCTGAGGCCAAAAGCATTCAAACTTATGCTAGGAGAGAGCCACCAAAAGCTAGCTCGCGACTGGCGCTTATATTTTATTGCTATTATCCTGTTTACTTCATGTTTATGCACACACACACAAGTGCACAAACAGGACCAAATACAGACGCGCGAGCACATGTTCAGTTATGCAATGGTGTGCGAATTAGTTGTGGCAGTGAAATGAAAGTGGATTCCTCGATTTTTGGCATTTCATTTCTAGTTCATCCATACCCTTTTTCGAAAAGGTTGTACTCTTTTTTACCTTTGCAAAGAGCAAATTCTTAGATATCCTATTATATATATTACATTATAAACATTACATAAAAATTATATTATATATATGATTGTTTAAAAATATTTCTTCTTTTAAATTTCAATTAATTGCCATTTATTCTGCTGTTATGTAAAAAATATAATTGTAACATTTTGTTTAAGTTTAATTGATAAAAAAGTACAACAGAAAAATTGTTTACCATTCCTATTCCGTTTAAAAAGAGTCAAAACTTTATTTTTAAATTGAGAATTAATTTTAAGTATGTAATAAATTTATTGGTTATAAATATTTAACTTAAAATGCGATGCAGAAATAATATATTTTTTCTTACATTTTGATCACCTAAAACTAAGAGAGTTTAAAGAGTATAAAAGCCATCGGCTTTCTTATTTCTCCATAATCTCTTTTGCCACCCATTTCTGTTCTCCTTTTTACTTGCGTTCAATTGAAATGGACAAGTTGGGGGTTTTGACGGTGGACCGAAGATTTTGGGAGTGGAGTACTATAGTTTAGTGACGTGTTTATATTCACGCACATATGGAAACCCGAGTCAGATGTCGCCGTGTGGTTTTTACGAGATGTCCCCCTCCGAAAATGTCCTTTATTTGCCAGTTGATAAGGGGGAAAAGTGCCAACCTTGTACCTTTTTTTGTGCTCCTTTTGGACAGCAGTCACTAGCTGGCTAAGCAGCGAAAGTATCCATTGTTCAGCTCTCCCTTTGTTAGACTTCCACTTGGGGTTAAAAGCATTGAATATCTAAAGAGACAACACTGTCATATTTTCAAATTGAGTGTACAAGTGCTTTCACTAAACTTTTGCGTATGTGATGAGGGGGATAAAGGAGGGTCCAACACATTTGTTAGCTTTAATAAACATTTATATGACTTTGGCTTAAGTGCTGCATACTTTCGGGAAGTGGGCGATAGGGAGGGGGGTGTGTGACTATGGAGCAGAGTCTGGGGCAAACAAATAAATTACGTCGCCAGCATCTAAGAACAACAAATCAAGTAATGCATGCATAAATTCAACAATTTCCACAAGTAGCCTAGAAAGTAGCTGAAAACTCCCCCGCCCCTTTGGAATTTTCCTCCCGCTTTTCTGCTTTTCCAATGACTCGCTCTGTAATTTATGACTTGACGCTGGAGCAACCACAAAACCAGAAGCAAAAGCACCAGCACCACCACTAGAACCAATGACAATTTTCGGAACAATTTTCGCGAGAGATAGAAATGGAGTGGCGGGAAAAGCGGGGAGGGATAGGAAAAGCCAACGCCTCAAGAAGTGCCCAAGTACGCCGGCGGTTGTGTGGGAAAATTGTAAAATTGTTGAAATATAAAACTTTCCGCTGCATAGCGAGCTAACGATGCGGAAACCTGAAGAAAGTTATGTTATCAATTTCAGGAGCAACAAATAAATTTAAATTTACCACAAAGGACGAATGAGGCCATCTTCTTACCAAAAATTATGACCAGCAGGGCCAAAGGCTCAGCTAGGATCCCCTAAGTTATTGCCAAACTTTGATTTGGGTTCTTAAAATTAAAACGAACACTTAAAAGGCCAGTTAACTGCGTTGTTTAAGTTCTAATTAATTCTAATGTTTTGGTATGCTGTTTCACTCAGAACCATTTAAGGGTTATGGAAAGAAAATGAGGCAAAAGAAAAATATAAGCTGTTTCCTAAATTCTGGAATTAAAGATGTATCATCCATTTTTATAGCAATCAAATACTATAAAATTCCTCCCACACTTAACAATATTTTATTTTGTTTAAATTTATTTTTGACACCTCTCCCACAAAATTGAGGCTGTCGATATAAAGTGA